AGAAGTTGGCTTCGGATCCCAGAACCTGGGCAATACCGTGATGTCATCAAAATCATCAGCTGTGGTCAGGTAGTCTCGAAAGAGAAAGTTGGCCGATCCGCTGGATCTGAGGACATTGGGACGAGAGGCAACCGGAAGCTTGATGATGCATTGGAAGTTCTTGTCCTCTTTGCCGGCTGAGGGATGTCTGCCAATGCGAAAAGCATACATGTTGGCTTTGTCGCAGCAATCCGGGTGGATTTGTGCAAAGTGGTGCTTGAGGAAGAGGATCTGCTGCTGTTGAGCTTGTTCAGTGAGCTGAGGGCCGATAAGCCTGGAGTCGGCATCCATGACAAGTTCTGCAACTTCAGCGGCTGTGAGTTGGACCTTGGGGTCAGGAAGCTTGTAGGTAACAGCACCATGCAGCTGCCAGAGAATGACCAGCCTCTTGTAGGCCGTTTTAGCTTGGGCATCTTCGAGGACGAGTTCGTAGGGGCCAATGACTTTGAGTCCGAGCTCACTGTATTGGTTCTTGTCATTGCCAGGAAGGATGACCAACATCGTCGCACACGGAGTGATTCTCGAGAGTTCCTGGATGGCTGACTTCGTAGCCAAAACTGCTCCCGCTTTCTTGGCACTGGCCTGTAGCCGATGAACCTGTGGTACAGGGATTCCCTTCTCATCAAGTAGCGGGTGATCCGCAGGGATGGTGAGGTCTTCCCATCGTGTCTGAAAAAGCTTCCGAGGGTTTTTGGGCTTGGCAGACTTGGAGGCCCATGGGTCATTGATTTGAAGCTGATCAATTTTCTCAGACCCTGCAGCAGCATTGCCAGTGGGCGTAGTCTTTTCAGTTCCACCTCCTGCAGCATATTGGAGAGCTCCTCTGTTGGCAAGGAGGTAGTGGAGGAAGTTGGTGCGCACAAGACTGGCAAAGTTGGTGATCCGAGGAAACGAAGAGGACAAATTCCAAACCAAGCGAGCCCGTTCAATAGTGCTTCGAATCTGCACCCGAAATCGTGACAGGTTGATGGTTTGCTGCACCTCATTTGCAAGTGGTGGTACTGCGATACGGAGGCGCTCACACAAGGAGTGGAGGAGAACCCATCCACACATGTTCGGCTCGGGGTTGCAGCGCACAATATGTACTTGGCAAGTAAGCTGAGCTTCGTCAATTTGCGACATGATAAAGGTGGCAAGAGGGCCAGCATGGTGAGCAAGTGCATCCGGCAAACTCATGAACAGAGTCATAGTCGCAGTGGTAGCATGTGCATCGATCTGAGTCCAGCACTGCTCAATGAGAATGAACCACGTGACATGCTGATAAGCTCTGAAATCTCGTCGTTGGTCATCGAAGTAGAAGAGGTTCCAAGAGGCTGCGTCCCATCTTGCCGGCGGCATGAAGCAGAATTGAGGTCGCAGAAAACGAATCGCTTGAAGGACAAAATCCAGCTCATCTGATCCAAGCCAGCCCGGGTACGAGTTGAAGTGCTGAATGCGATGGTGCATGTGGCTATCTGGGCTATCGATGTGGATAGCTGGTGTCTCCTCAGGCTGAGGACCGGCAGCAAGATCATCAAAGACAACAGTGATAGCCTCCTGCAACACAGCATTGCCCCTCAAAGTAGTGGTAGCCAGGAAGCTGAAGAAAGCACGACGCAGAGTGGCTGCAAAGAACCAAAGCCCATACGGGATGCCATTCTGGTTCCAGTCCTCAATAGAGTCTTCGATAACATCGTCAATGATAGCACGTGCAGCGATGGAGGTAGTGGCATACAGGTCACCATTGAGCGGCATGTGGTCCAGCATCCCTGCAGCCGTGGCCCACCGATGTAGTAGAGCCCACCCACAGAAATGGTTGACATCATCAAGTGGGACATGACTGTATTGGATCCTCTCGGGCGTGATGTCGAGGAGTTCAGCCACAACTTGCAATCCACTTCTGAGCAGAGGCCCTGGGAGACCAACGAAGGTGACATGGGTGTTGGCCCCTTCTCGCTGGATCTCAAAGGCTAGCCAGTGCGAACCAGAGAGGATCGGAAGGATGTTGAGCCTGTTATTGGCAATGAGAATCTCCTGATAGTCATTCGCATCAAGGTTGGCCGTCTCCAGATTCCAACGAACGGCAGGATGGAAAATGGCAAACTCAGGTGCAAGCCATGTCAGTTGCCGCAGGAAGAAAGCCATCTCATCAGATGCGAGCCAGCCACCAGTGTTGCTGGCAAATTCGGCTCTTTGCAGAAGATTTGCCCCAGCCGGGATAGTAGTGGACCGAGTTCCATGATGTCCTCCACAGTGAATGTCATTCTGCAAAGTAAGGTGTAAGAAGTCACCGTGGTCGAAGTGGAAGGGTGGTGGACCAGGATCACTTCCATTCTTGGACATAAGCCCATAACGGTAGGGGCCAATCTCGAAGAGAGGACATTCAAGCCTTGTTGGAATGAAGAAGCCGCACGTGGTATCCTGAGGCCCAAACTGAAGCAGCACCAATCTGTCTTCCGTGAATTTGGGAAAGACGACCCCATGTGGTGGAAGTCGAAACAAATCACCATGGTCGCAAATCTTGAAAGCGAAATGCTGAGTGTCCTGATCAAGATGATCCCATAACTCACGAATGCAGCGTAGTCGAGCTTCTGAGTCACCAAAGCCGTTGAAGGTGAGAGTACACGGGGTAGTTCCAAAAGTGACCATGAAGGTGGTTGCACTCAAAGAAGAGACTTCAATACAGTTGCTCTCAAGGAGGGAGAGGGCAAACTGAAACTGAGTATCGGCGAAGAGGTCATCATCTCCAACGAGCTTGAGACGGAAAGGATCAGAAGGCTGGTCATGAATGGCGTCACAAAGAGGTTGAGGCCCATGCCAATCTTGAGTCGGCACACAGGTGACATAGTCCTTGCAGATTGACAAGCTGGCAATCGGAAAAGTACGGACAAAGAGGGTCCATTCATGGTATTGCTCGAAGATCTGACCAACAGTCTGGGATGGAACGAGCCTTTCTCCTGTGGCTGCAATGTAGACATGGGCTGAGATGTCAAACTTCCAAGTAAAGCACTTGAGGAGGTCAGAGACAGTCCATGCCAGCTTGACAATGAGATAGGCGATCCTGCCATTGACATGCCGGCAGTGTAATGTGACATGTGAGTCATTGGCCACAAGGTCACTGCGGACAGTGATTTGCTCAATGATAGAATCGAGGCCAGCAAGGATGTAGAAGTCTCGTTGTTCAATGATGATCGCCTTCTGTCCAACAATTCGCCTTTGCCAGATCTTGTTGATTGCTCCATTGACATCCAGACCCCATTGAAAGAGGTAGTCAAGTCCAGCGAGTAGCGCCAGAAGAGCATGGGGTGTCGCAATAGAATTCCCAATCTGGCGATAGAGGAGTTGCAGCTGATTCGACAATACTGTTGGTTCGAAGAGGCCGAGCATCGCAGCAAGAAGTGCCGGATCAAGGAATTCAGGTCCTGCATCACCATCTTTGAGCGTGGCGAAGATGCCTTTCTGCTCGAGGAGGTGTCGAGGAAGAAGATGTTGGAACCCATAGGCAGCGCACACCGTAGGCACCGGCTCATGAGGCTGCAGGAATCTTGCACGTAGGATGACCTCAGCTGGAGCGGCAGGGTCAAATTTGGCTCTCTTGGCTGGTGGTAGAAACGAGTGCTGTGCATAGGCAGACTGGACCTGAGACGGGATGGCAATTTGATCCGACAACGATCGAGGGAGCTGAAATCGAAAAGATTCCGAAGTCCATCATTCTGGCGAGACAGACTTGAGACTCGGCACCGGTTTGGGACCATGATGGACAAAGTCATGTCGAACGAAGCAAGCAAGCCACCTGGAGCGGTGCATGTGGACAAATGCATGATAATGAACGACATCCTCCCAAATTCCTACATATCCTAAATCGTGAAGCATCGAGGTGATGATCTTGAAATGAGAGTGCTGTGCCAAGGCATCGACACATTCGAACATCACAAGGACAGGTTGGCCGATCGCACACTGCTTGATTGCTTCTACGAATGCCCATCCATCTGGACAGTTGAGTCCACGGCCGAAACCGCCTTTGCTCCAGGATACACATGGCGGGGAGGCTGAGAAAACCAAATTGGAAAGTGGTTGAGCACAATGCAGAATGGTAGGATCAGCAACGTCCCCCTGGATGACCCTGTTTAGAGTGATCTCGAAGGCCTGGGTGGCAGTCAAAGGCGCTTGAACAGGTTTGATTCCAAATTTCATGGACAAAGCAGCAATCACATCACTGTCGAGGTCGACGAAAACCTGGGTGCCAATCGTAGTCTGAGGCAGAATCCATGGAATAGTGAAGGTCGCTTGACTCCACCCTGAAAATGCCCCAGCGAACAAATGCAGGCATTCAATGGCATCATGTTCGACGGCCGAGGTCCTCCTGAGAATCGTGACCGAGTTTTCCCCTTTCCAGGTCCCGTCCTCAAGGCGAGCAAGTGGTCCAGCAAAGATGCAGCACTCTCCGGAAGCAATGCTAAGCGATCTCCTGGCTGAGTCGTGGATCACCACCTTGGTATCAAGGGCAGGCCCATCCATACGAAAACCATGCCCCTTGACAAAGGGGAACAGAGATGCTTCAAAGCAATCATCCACCCGGCTCCAGAAGGTGCCACAGAGGATTTTGCAATCCTCCCAGTCCAGCGAGGGACCGCCATCCAATCCACAAAAGATCGTGCGAGCGCGGGAGCGCCAGGGTTCATCCAAAAGATCCAAAATGCAGCTGGAATCCATGGCAAAAGCGCTTGGAAAATCACCACACCTAGGAAACAAGGATGAAGGTGCCTACAGGAGAAGCAGGCTCTTTGGACGCTCTCCCAGGTCGCGAGACCTGCAAAAGAGCCCCGGCCCCCGTGAGGCGTGAGCCCTAGGGTCTTGAACCCAGAAGGCTAGGCTCTATTCTGTTCATTCTTGGTGGTTAACCAGGGTGTGCCCGGTGTTGATACACAACCATTTGGGTCCACTTGCTTCCCCACTGTAAGATCCACATTGACAACTGGCAGGTCAAAGCGATGAGAGATGGTCTCAAGATCTTGCTGGACACGTGCCGCTTCGAACCTCATGCGTTTTCTTCAGCGACAGCTGAGGGGTTCGTGTCTTTGGGTCAGGGTTTGTGGGCGTCCACTCGTTTTACTCATACTCCGGAGTCCAATGGGGTGAGGATTCAATCCAATCAATGAGACCATATGCTACCCACAGCAAGTAGCTAGAAGCCGTGGCAGACATTTGTCCAAGTAGCTTCATTCATGTAGCTTCTGCGTGGCAACACATTTGCCCATCTCCCGGTGGATGTGGACTGTCAATGTGGACGTCAGGACAGCTGTCCAAGCGCCCTGAATCGCATCGTGATCCTGAGCCAAATTGGTGCTCAGGCAGGTGGTGGTGGCTTCTTGACTTGAATTGTGAGTTGGAAAAAAGGGCCACACAAACGCAGTGAGTAATTGTTTTTGTTGGTTTTCTGTTGTTTAGGGGGTGGTATGTCTAGCCCTGTCTCTAGATATCCCCAAGATACTGCGTTTCATGTCCTTGTCCCAATGGACAGATAGCTTTGGGTTCCAAAGAACTACTGTACTGTAGCAACTTCCTTGACGATGAAAATGGAAGGCCTTCTTTTGCGCGGAAACCTTTTCTCGACGCTTGTGTCGTTGTTGCGAGGTCAAAGCGACGTTTCACTATGTCACTATGTTTCACTCAACTTTGGAAGGGCAGCAAGAATTACTGTAGATACTAGTAATGAGAACTCTTGTAACGAACGTGTAAATCGGCTTTTATAAGTTAAGCGTGTTTTTGTATTAGGGGCTTGCTATCAGCCCAGCTCTAGATTGTTTTGTTTTTTTGTTCACTCGGTCACCTTTGCACGCGGCCAATCAGAACTAGGGATTCTCGACCAGGGTTCTCTATATGCCTCTATGCTCAGGTTTCAATGTGGGCTCCTTCTTCGGCGTGGACTTCAAGAGTGCCTTGGTGGTCGGACTCGTTTCGGTGCGCAGATTCGCCGGTGATCCATGTGCGTCATGACCAGAATAGGCACCAACTGGCCAGTTTGGTCAATCCCAAGAAGGTCGATCATTCAAAGAATGGACTTGAAATATATGTTGTAATCAAAAATCCTTGCAATTTGTAAAACGATGGTTCTTTGGCAGGTCCATTCCAGGAATCACAGGGAATAAGCAAGCAGAGCTGCTAAATGCCTCCGTCTCATGGTATTCAGGGGCCTTCCATGTGCTGAAATGGTGTAGAAATCCGCGATGTAGAATGACCTTTGGAATCGGATCATGTCCACCACTTCACTCGAGCAGACCTGCACCAGGTGGCAGCTACGGAAGTTTGGAGGACCTGGGCTGAGCAGGCCGACTCGACGACGAAGACGACGAACTCCGCTGTCACTTGCTAAGCCGACTCATGGCACAAGGGGAGACACATGGAGACACAAGACATTGCATCGGTCTTTATCGCCCACAGCGCAAGTAGGAGGCTGGAGTTCTTGGAGCTCTTGCTTGTATAAATTTCTGATGTTAAGACCTCCCCAGGCCAGGATGCATCAAAACCACCGCAAAATGCTCACAGTAACAGACGACGCCAGGGAGTCAACCTACCAAGGGTTTTTTGGCTTCGGGTTTGGACGCACAGCAAAATTAGATGGCCGTGTTTTGTTTAAACATCTTTAAACCAGTTTATCTAAGATTGACTCTTGATTTTCGAAAGAACCTCCCCACAGGTCCGATGAATTATAAGACCTTGATCTTCATAATTGTCTAAGAGATCTCCATTCGGTGAAATTCGACGTTCTACGCTCCCCAGCCCCCCCCCCGCCACCAGTTTCACGCCCTCGACCCTCCGCGCCAGGACGAGGTCACCGTCTACGCGCGGAAGCGGCCGCCCAGTCAGCCCTTGAGCGTCCTGGTGGTCCGAGCTGGTGACCAGGAGTGAGGTCGTCGGTCGTCGGTCGGTCGGACGGTCGGACGGTGACTGGTGTTTGTTTGGTTGGTGACTGGTGTTGTGACAGGTGTGGAGAGGAAAGAGTCCATTTTTGGGCGCGGGGAGAGTTTTGGTATACCTTGAGAATCCTTGAGAACCGTATGGCTCAGTACTCGCGAAAGGATTACACAAAGGATAGACAAAACATGGAACTAAGCATCAAACTGAAGCTTCGAAGCATCGTATCTCTCAACAAGACCAAATTTGGACACCGTCCGCGCCGTGTGAAAAGCGCTCGGAAAGCGCTCGACGTGCCGACGTGCGACGCCCGGGAGGACGTCCGGCCCGGTGTGGTGCAGGTGAGTCTCAACGAGGTGAGGGGGGGGTCGGTGGATCGCTTGACGCCACTCCACTTCCGGCCATGGGCCATGCCATCCACTTCCATGTTAGTTCCAATAAGTGCAATTATATAGTCAAATAGGATCATCCATGTTGGGGGAATTGGTCTTGCAACCTAACCAGCATCATCCACTGGGCCCTGGTAATGGGATATGCCCAACTCAGCATAACTCATCTAAAGCTGTGGTCAGCGGGGTCACGGTCCAAGTGAACGAAACTGTTTCTTCCTGAAAGATGAACGTTTTCGATTGAACACCATTCCCAAAGATACCAATAATGGGCTTCATGCTTTGGGTCTATAAGGCCATAAATAGGGTTTGTCCCATTCCCTGCAGCAGTCGGTAAACAAGAACTAGTTTAGAGATGTCGGTTTGCAACTGAACCATCATCATCATCATCATCCCGTGTTACAGGTAATGGGATATTCCTCAAGATATACAGTACCCAAATTATAGCAACTAATTACTGTAATATGTTAAAGTCAATGCACCCCCCAAACACCGGGGTTGTCTTACTGGCGGTGGGATTTACCCAATACAGTCATGTCCGACGTTGCACTCCAGTTTGTTCTCTTCGCTCTGCGATACCGGCGGCAGTTCGACGGTGTCAGGAGTCAGGCAAGACCTCGCCGGAGACGGTGGCGGCTGCCATGTTCAATGCAGTGTTGTATGGAGTGAATGCGCCTTGGAAGCCGCAGTGGGCTCCGAAAATCAATAAATATTATTAACTAACTGACTGACTAACTAACTAAGTGACTGACTGACTAACTAACTGACTGACTAACCTGACTAACTGACTAACTAACTGACTGACTGACTAACTGACTGACTGACTGACTGACTGACCAACTAACTGACTAACTGACTGACTGACTCACTGACTGACTAACTGACTGACTAACAGACGACAGACCACAGCCAACAGACAACAGACAACAACACCAACACCAACAGCAGGAGCACCAGCAGCAGCAGCAGCAACAGTAACAGCCCACAAACACACACACACACATCATGTGACACAAGTTCGCCTCTACTACTGTCGGCCTTCGAAGAGGGATAGAAACTCCAGAAGTGTGGGACGGGTTCCACTGGTACCTGAACCCCAGATCGATGTAATCTTCCCAGTGCCTCACCATGCCTGACCTCAAGAGCAGTCTTAGATTTATCATGCTGCTTAATCACCATGCCTGGGCTAGTGAAGGCCATGCAGGGCTCCATGCCCAAGTTGCAAAAAAGAACATCAGCTGATGCCCTAAGAATCCGGGCCCGCACCAATGGAACCTGTTTTGAGGGTCCGGACCCCTGCCATAGACAGCCCAAGGATTCTTAGGGTGGACCAGTTGGAACTGACCGATTGAACAATGTTTGAAGTGGCGAAGTGGCGGAATGGAAAACAAAAAAACATTGGACCAAAAGCGTGGATGCCCCCCACCGCCAACTCACCCACTGACCTCCTGGGGTCTCTCCCCCACTGACCACCCACCACCTCTCGCGCTCGCGAGGCGAATTTCACGGTCCTGGACCGGCGGCAGGGGCGCCGCATGGCCTGGGGAGAAGTGCTGTTGCCCTGTGTGGGCCCAGAGGTGTGGCGGAAAGAGGTGCCGGATGCGAGGAAGGCCGAGCCTCGGCGAGAGGCGATGGGAGCGGCGAGCTGGGCGAACGCAGGCGGCCGGGTGTTGCGTGGGCAAGACTGTGCCCGAAGCTGGAATCCAAGAAATACGACGCACCTAGATACTTTGAACAGTTGAGTTTGCGCCCGCTAACAGCTTCGCTTTTGGGGGATTCCAGTCGGCCGACCGACTGTGAACCGAGAGCAAGTCTGTTCTCAGGGTCAGAACGAATCCATCTTTTGTCACGAAAGTTGACGTGAATAAAAGAAAAGGAGTCACTCAGCAATCCGTCTTTTTGCTTCAGCTATATAGCTGGAGTTACTTTTGTTTCAGCAAGTGGTTGGCTGGGGCATGGAATCCACTACCCCGTGAATTATCCACTGGACCCCCCGCCGTTTCGGTTCAACTTCCTGCTTCACGTCATGCCGACTCATCCCCGTTTGGCCTCAAGTTCCGATGAATGCAAGCTCACCAAAGACACCAGCTCACAAAGCTGGTACTTACAAGTCCAAAAAGTAACAAGAAATTAAATTGGCTTCATGGCCCCGAGGGCCGCATGCCGCACTTGTTTTAGCCTCAACTCTTGAGAACTGAGGCTCTTTTCGTGCAACAGTGGGCCTCAACCTTCATTGATGGCTCCTTTCGCTTCGGCATGAAGACGCCCATGGAGCAGAGGCCAACGCCTTCGGGGTGCGAACTGCGCTTCCGCCCGGTGGGCACGCCCTCCGCAAAGACCATGGAGGAGTTAGATGAAGGACTGCCCGGGCAGTGGGCGACCCCGGGTCAGGACGGTGGCCCCCTGAACTGCTCCAAGGTTCGTGCCTTCTCTTGGTCAAGTTGAAAAAGGGGTGCCGATGCACCTGCTTTGAATCTCTTCATGTGCATTGGGCTCGTCATGTGGACCAGCGGGGTTTCAAACCAGGCATCCTTGGAAACAGATATAGGCTGACATGTGACGTTCGCTTTCGTGTTTTTGCAACTTTCGGATGACGTCGCTGCCTTAACCTCTCAAGCGCGTCTCGTAGCGCTCAAGCCGCCGCAGAAGGCCGCTCTATTTGGGTCGCACCCTTCCTCTCAGCGAGGGACTCCGCTGCTTCCACCATGGACACGAAGCGAACTTTAGGAGAGGAGTTTGAAGTCGTCTTGAGCGGAAAATGGCGGCTAGGAGCCTTCACCTTCAAAGAGCACAATGGGCTGCGCATCGCAGCGGTCCATCCCACGGGCGCGTTGGCGGATTGGAACCAATCGCACCCCGAGAAGCAGGTGAAGGCGGGTGATTTGCTGCTGGAGGTTGATGCAGAGATGCAGCCAACGGCGAATTCTGGCGTACGTGGCCATGGCCGTGTGATCTACGACGAACTCTTGAAGGTGCCTCGACCGTGCAAGCTGATCATGGGCGCTGGGCCTTTGCACACATAGACTGGCGAACGAGGAAGGGTTTGGCGGCGGAGAGAAAGGCCTAAGGCCTGAGTGAAGCATAGAACTTCCAAATTTGCACAATGTTGAACAACCAAATTTGACTTTGAAACATCGTTGAATCTTCTTGGGGTTGAGATGCTTTTCTTCAAGGCGCCTGGCAGCACCGGTCTCACAGCTTGCGAATCCTGCAAAGCAGGACAGTCTCACAGCCCGCTTCAATCTTTTGAGAGGAGGAAGCGATCACAGACAAAGAATGGTGCGCAGACCAGTGGAAGACTGATGTCCTTTTCAACATTGTGTTTTCTATTGCCTCATGTGTTAACCTGTCAAGGCTTCTGACAGTTCAGAATACTTGTTGATGTGGCCATGGTGACGTGGGTGCTAGGTGCAGTGTCCCACTTGCGAAGGAGGCTTGGAGTTCCTGGCGGAGCTTGCGCCAGATGGCACTCAGCGGCTGCGCTGCCGCCGAGTGGCGTACAGCGCCAAGGCAGAGCCTCAGCTTGACCAGAGGTGTGCCCGTGCCCGAATGCCTTTTGTGCTAGTTTTTGTGCTTAGAGCTCCAGCCTCCAGCAGGGAACCATTAGGCTTAAGGCAGCCCTGAGGTGTTTGGGTGGTATAACAACTGAGTCTGCCAGTTTAAGTGCAGGAAAAGATAGAAAGACATTGTCGACATTTTAGGAGCTGCTGTTTTTTGGAAGGGCGCTCAACTCACTTCTGGCATCCTCGTGCTCATTTGGTCATGCTCCTTGCACTTCAAGACTTAGGCTCAAGGTCATAACTTTTGATTATTCTTCAAGATCCAGCCCAGAACTTCCAACAGCAAAACTAATTAAACTAAAGGAGGCGCAACCAACAACCAGAAGCAAGGATCGATGACAAAGAAGAATGGACAGTCCGGGGATTGAACCCGGAACCTCCTGCATGCTGAGCGGGTGTGATACCACTACACCATCTGCCCTTGCATAATTGGCCCCAGGCTTGCGGATAGCAGAAACGCATGTCAAAAATAGAACGGCGACAAAGAGGCCCGGCATGTTAAAGGAAGCGCGTGGTCGAACAATTGACGACGCGCCGCTGACGTCAAGTCGGTTGGTTTTGTTTCAGACTTGACTAGACTTGACTCAGCCCGTGCCCATCAAGCAGCACATCATGAGTTATAGGCTCTATTTACTGACCCGAAGCCGGAGCGGCTTTGGATGTGAGGTGATCAAAGCCAACTCGGAGCGAGCATTGCTGCAACAGTTCCAGCGGGATGCTTTGGAGTGCTAATTTTGTCTAATTTTGGTTATTTTTGTGTTGGTCCCGGCTGCGTTTCCTTGAAAAGAATGGTTTGGAACATGTTTTTGTTTCAGTAGGGAAGTGGCCCTTGAGTGCATGCCAGGACTGGGCCGAAGCTATGGGGGAGTCCACATGGACGATCTTTTGATGCGAAAAAATCAATGGATTCGCTACCGTGTGGGTGGATTTTGGAATCGATGTTCTACGTTGATGGGAGATGTTGGGGGGAATCCAAACCCAGACAAGTTGGGAACATAACGTTTTTCATTTTTTGTGTGCATGCAGCATTTGTGTTTACAATGAATTGTTGAGGACACCAACCTCCTACCTGAAAGAGTTGTATTCACATGACAGGGCAACCCTTGTTCAAACTGACCGCCGTATATAGATGGTTCCAAATTTCAAGTCAAAAACCAGGTGAACCTTGTTGAAGGAAGGAAGGTTGCGCCTATGCTCCATTGATGCTTGCATCATGGGTCCAGAAGAGACAACTTCATGAGCAATGCCAAACCTTAAAGATCAATTCTGCCCTGTTAGACTAGCTATCGCTCACTTAACAACAGTGCCCATCCAAGAAAACACCGACAAGCACATTGAGAAAACACACCCTTCCGCTATCCGTTTGATTTCTGTTGCCCTGCAAAAACTGTGGCACGCCATGATTTTCAATTCCACACAAGGTCGAACTGTGCCAAACGGCCCATCCGCCATGGCCTTGGACCGGCGCCGCTTAGTGCGGATCGAGGAGCTGGCGAATGAGGTGGAGCACGGGCTCCAGATGGTCGGAACTCCAAAGAACAGGGGCACAGCAGCGGGTGCGAAACATGCGCTGAATCTGGGTGAATTCCGGCGCGGATTTTGTGGGATGGGTGACTGTCTTAAATGTTCCCTTAGGGGTCGGGTTATCTGGGGTTTGCTTACCCAGCAGGACGCATATTTTGAACCCACTCGTTCTGCTGGCTGGGTTCTTTGAGGGATGCGGCCGCTGCGTAAGCGCTTAGTCAAGTCGAACCAAAGCCTTTGACTTGAAGCCCTGCATGCACAGCCTCTCCAGTCAAGGAAGTTGTCATGTGGTTATGGAATAATTTCATTGGGGTCAAACATGGGGTAAATGTAGGTATGACATGGTATGACTATTCGATACATGCAGAAAGTGTTGGTTTCGAAAGACATGCGGTCCCATTAAGACCTGGGCAATGCACGGTGATGAACGGTGTGCGAGTGGGTGAGATTGAAGGTTGAGTTCTGGGTTTCTGCAAGGAAATCTCGTCCAGATTTTGCTCACAGCTATGACATGGACAGTGACAGCACATATCCACAATGGCTGGGGAAAGCATCAGACGATTTTCCAAGGGATTGCCTTTTCACCTTCGCATACGTAAGATGTTCACAACATGTTTGGTTGGCCTGTCATGTCCTGTCTTCAGTTGTGCCGGGTGATGGTGACAGCATGGACAGAACAAAAAAAAAGAAACATCCACCTCCTGTGCACCACCTGACTTCCAGTGAGAGAGGCCACAGGTCTCCCCAATACATCATGGCCGACGCGAAGGCCGTCGGCTCGGTAGGGCGCTTGGGAGGTGGAAGACATGTGTCACGCAGAAGGCTCACGCAAGCAGAATTCCCAAGAGAAACACATGCCGGTTTTTCAGGTTCGCAGGCCGCAGGGGCTAGGGGTAGTGGTGAAGGGCTATAGGGGCATGGGCAGGTGGGGAAGTCAGTTCTCAAGAAATGTCGCGCACCTTCCTTCCTTATATATAGTTTCTCCCGGATGTCCAGTAATGATGATATGGCAGTGGGAGTCTGTATAATTCCGGGCACTTATTTTTGGGTTTGTCCTATTACCTGTAACAGTCAGTGAACAACTACAAGGCCTTCACTAACCATCATCATCCACCGTTGCAGCTCCTGACATCATTTTGCATCACTTCCAGATCTTCTCGAACAGCAGAAGAAGCAAAGTTCTTCATTCAAATCAGACTGATTAACTAGTGAATCAGTATCCTTGGCGTCCAGGTTGTGATGCTTTTTGCCTCGTCCTAACCATGCTCACCCTTCAGCATCTCTCTCAGCCCTGAAGAAACCGATGTTTCACTTCCTTTCAGCACGGGCGCGTCGCGCAACGCGAGCGCGCGGTTTGGAGACGCTGCGAGGCGGAGCTTCCAGTTGTGCTACTTTTGGGCGACAAGGTTCACGGACAGCGGCTGCTGGAGGCTTTGAGCGATGAGACGAGGGAAGGCGCGGAGGGGTGGGGGGTGCAAAACATGGCAAAGCCTGGAGAGAGAGAGAGAGAGAGAAGCAGGCAGGCAAGCAGGCAGGCAGGCAGGCCGGCGGGCGGGCGGGCGGGCGGGCGGGCAGGCAGGCAGAGAGAGAGAGAGAGAGATTAACAAGAGTGTTGTAACAACATTTGGCAACAGGATCGCTTTTTGGAGAAGACATAGTTTCTTGTGGCTCTTGACTCTTGAACATTAGTTTGAGACCGGTGGTCCTTCAACATGTGCACACGATTGCACACGGCTCGCCTGTTTCATTTGCCTCGCCGCACGAGGCCTGTCAGGTGTGGGAGTCATTAAGAACAAGTACTACACCGCGCGAGTGCAGCACCTTTGGCCTCAGCAAGATCCACCCAGGCGGAAACGCCTGACCTCGACAGCCCTGGCTGCACCAGGAGTCCATATGCACCGAAGCTTTAGTGACTGGCGATCCAATGCAATGAGCCCAGTCGACTCTGGTAGGCAGATCTATTCACCCTGGTCCCAGTTGACTCTTCTCACCTCGGAGGTGGCAGAAGCCTCCAACCAAGCCAGGGTTGGTTCGCTCCACTGGGCCGGGTTGTAGCCCGATGTGGAAGAAGCCTCCAACAAAAAGAACACATCACATGGAAGTGGAAAAACCTCCTGTGTAACGGATTCCGGCTTCCAAAGTTCGGGACCGTCTTCCACCTGATGTGATGAGATCGTCCGAGTCCTTGATCGCGTTCGCGGACATCGTTCCGAAACGCTGCGGGTCACGGCGCGTCCGGTCATGCGACGTGTCAGCCGCGTCCGGTTCCGGTCCACCTGATCGGAAGACGAACGGCTGGGCGCATGCCGAAGCAACGCGTGGGGCATCACCGGAAGCAACGTGGCGCGCTTCTGAGGTACCAACTGGTCCCTGCAGATGCTCCAGAAGCGGTAGACCAGATCGCTGCAGCAGAGGCGGTAGTCCTCCTTTGGGATGTCAAAGAACCAGAAGTTTGGCGCGGCATCTTGGGCAGCGCCAAGGGGATCCAAGGGGTAGAAAACCTGGAAATGATAGTAAAGGCATACACTGCGGCATACACTCTGTGAAATCATCATGGAACATCGACCTCTCGGAATCTCTTGGAGGATTAAACTTTGCAAAGACCAAACGGGTCGGTGCCATGAAAACGTCACCAGCTGACCTGGCCTAGGTTGGGACCGGCTCGGAGGAGTAGACCCGAGGATTGGGACCAACTTGTGGATCCAACGGTCGGTTAGGTCGGGGCCGAAAGGGCGGCAGTCAGACTGCGTTGACTGAGTTTATGACCGATGCGAAAGCTGCGAACTGCGGCAGTCAGACTGTCAGGGCAAGGGACAGACCCGAAGATACAACTTCTGTTCCCACAGAACATGCATTCATCTAGCTTGTTCAAGGGAGGGCGACGACCTTCTTCGCAGATGGCCTAGGCATCAAAGCCTTGTTCCCCAGCCATGATGACGCAGAAGATCCTCGTAGAAAGGGAGCGGGTCAAAGGATCACGGGGCAAAATAAATGATAATAAATGTATTTTCAAGAGTGTGCCCCCCCTCTCAAGATACATTTCTCCGTCTCCAGATGTTATTCTCGGGGAAGTGATTGATATGTTTTTTTACTTGGACCCCTTTCATACATTTCCCTGAAAAAGTAGGCTTCCTCAGGGCGGTTTCCCGCCTTTTGCTTTTTCATACATAATGATCATACAATTTGATGCTCATTATGATTTTCAAAGAATTGTTCGACCCCATGGCTTCATACAATTTGCAAATGCACCAAACATGTAGATTGCGAATAATAGATGAGTGCGTATTTTCGTGCATACATTCAGGTCTTGTTCCCCCCGTGCTGTTCATACATATCCCGAAAAATGTGCTTCTGGAACGCCGAGGGAACACGAACCAAACATGTTTTGATACATCCTCTTTCTCCATGTTCAACCCCTCCCGTTTGAACGTGTTTTTTCAACACCTGTTCCCCCATTTGCATACATTAGCAGAAATGCATAGAAATGGAACCCCTATTTTTCTGGGATTTTTTTTCAATTTTTTTCTGGTATTTTTTTTCATATTTTTTCCCCTACTACTTTTGCATTTGGCTTTGTTTGCTTTTGCTTTTTGCTTCTGCTTCTGCTTTTGCTCTTGCCCTTTGCTGTTGCTTTTTGCTTTTTGCTTTTGCTTCTGCATCTGCTTTTGCATTTGCTTTTGCTTCTGCTTTTGCTTTTTGCTTCTGCTTTTGCTTCTGCTTTTTGCTTTTTGCATTTGCTTTTGCTTCTGCTTTTTGCTTTTCCTTTTGCGGTTGCTTTGTTTTTTTGTTTTTCCTTCTGCAGTTGCTTTTTGCTTCTGCTTTTGCTTTTTGCTTCTACTTGTGCTTCTGTTTTATGGCGTTCTGCTTTTGCCTTTGCTTCTGTTTTTTTTGGCCAGGGTCTAACGAGCCTGTGTTGCTGCAAGGGGGCAGCTTTCAACACTGCGCTGGTTGCAGTAAAGACCCTGTGCTGCTGCAAGTGGCCAGCTTCC